ATTATATCATTACATTTTTTGCATGTTTAAATTATGCCTTTCCAAGCGGACTGGCAATTCCTTGAGGGTAAATGCTATGCTAAATGCTCTGGTGCATCTCCCAGGGTACGGAGCATGGCACTCTCTTCGTAGGAGGTGAGATACATGATAAGCATTTATCAGTTGTCTGTGATCTGTGACACGGCCTCATCTAGTCTCCTCTGTCTCCCTACAGTTGTCTGAAGGCATGGCCACCCAGCAGACTCTTCACGGCCTGCAGCCCTTCACCACCTACTCCGTTGGGGTGGAGGCCTGCACCTGCTTCAACTGTTGCAGCAAAGGGCCAACGGCAGAGCTGAGAACTCATCCCGCTCCACCCTCGGGACTGTCGTCTCCCCAAATCCAGACGCTGTCCTCGAGGACAGGTTCCTTCCGGTGGAGCCCACCCCTGTTCCCCAATGGTGTCATTCAAAGGTAATGGTCGGACAAAAGGATGAATAAGCTGAAATAAGACATGCATACAGTCTTGTAGCTGCCCAGCACGGCCTAAGGAGGCCGTGCTTATTGAACAAATACCTATAGCAAAATAGACAAGTAAATTGATTAGAGTTGTAATGTTCCCTGCCAAGTGTTTAAATCACAAAATCAACTAGATAGAAAGGTGAACAACCAAACTGTCTTTAAATAAGAAAGATGGTGCAATGTGTTTGCATCCACTGAAAAAAGAGGCTCCTCCTCATGGTTCCCTGGAATTATTCCTTCTATAGACCTCAGCTGGAACACAGGAAACTTCTGTGGTTAAATCAGAAGTTGCTTGGTCTAATTTAAAATGTTGTCATGAACCACTGTTTGGAAAAACAAGGAAGGTATTTCACTCAAAATAATCTGGATGAAAAGATATTGTTTTGTTTTGTTTTTGTTGGTTGGTTTGTTGGTTATTATTTATTTGTTTAAAAAAATGATATTCTCTATTTTCAACAGAGGAGAACAATTTTATCACTCTTTTCTGAAAAGAGAGACATTTCTCTCTACCGAAAAGGATTGCTAGTTGCTGGTGGGACAGCACATGTGAGCACATTTGACTCTGGTTACATCTGCTGCTCACTTCCAACGACATTAAAGAAAGTGTTTCTGAGAGCAGTTTCCCACAAATGGAAATCAGAAAGAGCCGGTGGTTCTGCTAACACAAAATGTCTCCTCACAAAATATACCCTGTTTTCAAAGAAAGTTCAACTAATTTCATTGCCTGCTTTCGGCTTCTAGCTATGAGCTTCAGCTCTACGCGGCTTGCCCTCCGGATTTAGCCACGCTGTGTGCCCCTGGCCAAGCAGAGACCAAGTATGTGGGGCTGGGGCTGACAGCCAGCCTTGAGGGCCTCCAGCCCTACACCACCTACAAACTCAGAGTGGTGGCCCACAACGAGGTGGGCAGCATGGCTTCTGGATGGATCAGCTTTATCACTCAAACAGAATGTGAGTAGAAGTGGCTGCCACCATCAGCCAGAGAGATAGGGGGGAAACCAGGAGACACTTGGCTTTTTTTTTTTTTTTTTTTTTTTTTATTTATTTGACAGAGAGAGAGAGGGCACAAGCAGAGGGGGAAGCAGGCTCCCCGCTGAGCAGGGAGCTTGGCTGGGGGTTTGATCCCAGGACCTGAGAAGCCAGACACTTAACCCACTGAGCCACCCACAAAACCCTCCGAGATGATTTTTTTTTTCAGTTTGCCACTCCTTTTCTTTTCAAATTACATGGCATGGCATAATCCAGAAAGCATTGAGATACGGCACTGTCAAGAAAACCAGAAGAACAATTAACTAATAAATTCAGCCTCTTTACATTTCTGTAAAATAACTTCTTTTCAGAATTTATAATGTATATATGTCTATTGTTTAACAATGACAAATACAAAAACAGGGCACCTGGCTGGCTCGGTCAGAAGAACATGCGACTCCTGATCTTGGGGTCGTGAGTTCGAGCCCTATGTTGGGTGTAGAGATGACGTAAATAAATAAACTTTAAAAAAATAACAAATACAAAAAGTACTAAGAATAAAATTAGTACTTAGAGTCAGAACCAGCTACGTCATGTGCAGGGCCCAGTGGAAAGTAAAGGTATGGGTCCCCTTATTCAAAAATCACTAAGAATTTCAAGACAGTGACAGTAGAGCATCAAACTAAGTTTGTGACTCTTACGTGAGGGGCCCCGTGCAGCTGTGTGGTTCACACACCCATAAAGCCAGGCCTGCTTATAATCCCACCACCCAGAGGCAACCACATTAGCATTTTGGCATAATTGATTCCTTTAATCCCTTTCTCATGCAGTTTCTATTATGTGGCTGAGATCATACTCTAATGAAAATTTCATAGTCTGCTTTTTATACTTGACAATATTTTATTTGCATTTCCCATGACATTAAAAATGCTTTAGCCTAACCAAGTTGAATGACTATATAATTTTCCAACCTATGAATTGGTTGGGCATTTTAGTTGTTCTAATATTTTTCTTTATAAATGTGGTGAGAAATTTCTTTGTGAACCCATTTTAAATGTCCGATCATCTTCAAATTAAATTTTGACGAATGGAATTTATTACATCAAATATTTTAATATTTTGGATACTTATCACAAGTTGGCTTTCCAGCCACATTATGTCAACTTATAATCTCATCTTCAGGATTTGGCATTGGCATTTTTTGAAGTAAGAGTTACACATTCACGAAAGTCCAATGCCTCATACAAAGACCTTAATGTGACTGGGTGACATGGCAGGATGTTAGCAATAGGTCACCCTTAGAGAGGGTTGGTCCTGGCACTGTTCAAGGATTTTACAAATAATCCTCAGCACAAGCTGATGAAGTCAGTGCTATTATTCAAATACACAGAAAACTGAAGCAGGACCGTGGACCGTACACCATAATTCCAAGACGTCGTTCACGTAGACCAGAATCTGAACGGAGGCTCTGGAAGCTGTACCATGAAGTGGCCCCAAACTAAGGCCAGAGCTGAAGTCATCTGCCAGTTTCCACCCCTGGACAGTGGAACTATGACTCTAAATTCATGATCCCCCAGCTCAGTGGCACCCTCAGTACCACTATGTTACCCTGGTCTGTAATAAAGATTTCAGAGCTTCTCTACCCTCCTCAAGCCTCCCACATCCTCCCACCCTGCCCCCCACCCCCATCCTAGCCCCACTTGCCTCTCCCTATATTCTCCAGAACTCCTTGCCTCCAAACTCACCAGGAAAAGACAAGTCACCAGTCAGACGTTTGCTCCCTTCCTACCCCAGACCACCGCATTCACCCGCAATTGGCTTCATTTCTGTCTGCGACGAGGAAGGTGGTCCTTCTACCTGAAATAATCCCACCTCTTGTGCTTCGAATAGCAGCCCCTTCGCTGCTGAACCTCCTCCTCTCTGCAACCTTCAGTGTATCCCGGTTAAAGTCACAGCTGCTTTGCCCCCACACGTCACCTCTGCGGACTGCCACACTCCTCCCTTCATAGCAAAACTTGTCTGAAGAACGCTCTTCGTGTCTTTGCCCATTTTCTTTCTTCCTATTTCTCCTTTAACTTCCTCCAGACTGATTTTCACCTCCTCCCTTCACAAACCTTAAAGGAACCATGAGAAATATTTGTGCCTACATGAAAAAGCAGTAAAATGAATACTGACTTAGTAATAAAAAAATGCTACTGTATTCAAGGAGTGGGAGAAAACATAATCACCATCCCTGAGAAGCAGTTACCCTTCATAATACAACCATAAGCCAGTTTTGCTAATTATTCCAGTTTTGTGTGTGTGTGTGTGTGTGTGTGTATATTGGCCAGAAGGCCAGGCCAAAACAACTGTGTGAGGTTTGCAGGTATAACCAATTCTCTTGTTAATCATCAAGCTGAGGTTTGCCAGATTTTTTTTTTCTTCATGCTGGAAAAAAAACCAGAGTGAACAGATTTAAGATTTCCTTCCTTTCTGTTCTTCCTTTACATTGAAGAAGTAGCACCAAGGAAGAAAGGGCTCACTCGGTCCACTTTACTGGATCCACAGACATGGAAAAGTACGATCAGTGACTGACTATCATATGGGTTTGTAAATACCATTCGTGCTACTTTTAACTCATGATACACACTAGAATAGAAAAAAATAGGGATCGGAAATACAGACCAAAAAGTACTTCAAAAGTAGTATTTCTAGTTTTATATAAGTGTGATCACTTACATACTCAGAAAAGGGTCTGGAGAGGCTTTAACAGTGCATTCAGCCCCCTGTGCCTTAACCAGACCTTCGGCACCAGGACAGAAGTGAGGCGTAAATGTTGAACAACTAGCCTTCTTCTTGAGAGAAAAATGTCCTGATTGGAAGCGCTTGCCAGTTTCCGTGGTGTAAGTACTCCCACTGCAGCGGATTTCAAGGTACCAGTGTGACAGCATGGAGCACAGCTCGGCAGAGGTGGCTGGTGGTGTGCCCTTGCGTAATCACTGTACCGTCCAGATACAACAGACGTAAATAACCTCAAGGGCATAGATAATAATACACTGTAGAGAAATGATTAAGGAGTTACGAAAGTTGAGTATTTATTACCTTTCTTTTAATGCCATTTATTTCAGTTTACATAATTTCCTTTTCAATAATGGTTGGTTTTAATAACCAACTCACAAAATCCCTAGTCACCACTGGACTGCACCCATAAAGCAATTAGTGAATTGTGCTCCTTTGAGTAAATGTGTATTGGTTACAACAAAACAACATGGGATTTACGGTTAGCAGGTCTGGGTTCAGATCCTCGGCCTCCTACCAGCAACTGACAGTAAGCAAGTTACTTGGCTCCTCTGAAACTGAAAAATCAGGAACTAATTCTAATTCTTACAAGATGGTTTCGAAGATTAAGTGAGATAAAACACATCAAGTGCAAAGGGCATAGTGGCTTTTCCTGTTTTCTCAGTCTCTAAATCCATTATTTTTGATGATTTTGGTTGTTTAATTGCTCTTTTCTCTGGAAGATCTCCATGTCCTGCAAGGCAAATAAAACTCCTATCTTTCTGTTTTCCTACTATTTACAAGCCTCCTCTGTATTTATACTGTTATGATGCAGAGGAGACGTGGACATCTACTGAATTAAGTGACCGAAGGAAGCCACAGACAAATACAACAATATAGTACAGTCCATTGTGATGTTGGACAAAATTTGTGTTGGAAAAACAAATATTTAAAGAGGGTTTGGTAGCTCTTGTTTTCGCATTTGCAGAAATATTTTCTTATGGTTTTATAAAAATGTCTTATTTTGAAAGATAAGAATCAAAGTTGTCTTGTGGTTAAATCCTGAGATGACCCAAGTATAATTATTCCTTATTTTGTTATATTTCCTAACATCAGCAACAGATGGGTTTAATTTCTAAAGAAAAAAGACATCCAATTTATTTCCACCACTCCCTTTTTTCTTTTCTTAAAAGCCAATTTGGTATATAGATGGATCTTAATGCTGTTACAAATGTATTGATTATTTTGGAGAAAACAAGATCTCATGAAATAAATCTCTTCTGACTTGACAAGATGATATGGCAACCCTTCATTTGTTTCTGCAAAAAATTATTCATTTAAAAGATGAGACTCAGTTACGGATTGTTTTTCCTTTGTTTTCATAAGGAGCTGAAAAATGGAAAGAGAACATGCACACCAAGTTGCTTCTGTATCTGATATAATACTTAGGAGACCTGAACTTGATTATATACTAATGTACTATGCTATTGATTGATTAGTCAGGGCAATGAATTATTATAGTCGAATTGCTATTTGTGAGGCTTTTTTTTAACTATCTTAGAAAACAAACTAACATTTCAAGAAAAAGCTTTAAAAATAAATGGGTGCCAAAAGGACATAATTCACCATCTAAGCAGTTTAGTTTGGAGGGAAAAAAATATATTAACTTCATCTAGTCCTTGGGGCTTTGTAGCAATAAATATTGATTCAATATGAAAAATAGCATTCTACTGTAGTTAATAGTGTTAAGGATACTTTACCCGTTAAAAGAGGGAAAATGCAACAAAATATGAGCTCCAGGGTTATGTTGGTAAGCACAACCATTGTATGTTAATAGTTTTATTTCATAAAACACTGCTCCCCATTGATTTTTTTTTTTTTGGAAAGCAGATGCAACGGTGCTGAGAAAGCATTTCACACGTGTTCCCATTGGTTTTCTTTTTACCCCCAATGGAAGGGTTTTGGTTTGTTTGTTTGTTTTTTTTAAACACTGAGGAAAATATGAAGGGTTCCAGCAATGCTTATTTAGGGGTGAGGGAGGACATATTAAAAAAAAAGACATACATACACACACATACTCCGAGGTAACCATTTTTAGAACATAAAACTTTCTCCCAACAGTGCCCCAGTACCGAGGCCCATTTTTGGTGGACAGCAATTTGTCTCTGGTGCGTGTGGACTGGAGTGGCTCTTTCCTGCTGAACGGCCCACTGAAGGAGTTCGTGGTGACCGACGGAGGCCAGCGTGTGTATAGTGGCTTCGACACCACCCTCTACCTGCCGAGGACAGCGGACAAAAGTTAGTTTCTGACCCCCATTTCATGGTGTGTCAGGAACTCTGGGTCCCCACCTGATAGTCCATCTGAAAGGTGACCAGCAGGTGCTCATCGGTAAAATGTCTTGGTTTGAGCGGCCACTTCTTGTGGGAAAGTTGCAGCTCCCGGTAAATAAGCTCTCCCTTCCCATGTGCAGCTTGATGTGTTGCCATTATGAGGCAGAAGGAGGGGAGGGCTCTGTGACATCAGTGTCAGAGATTCCACAGATGGAATGAGAGCTCAGGGCACCATAAGAGAAAGAGGACCAACGAGTAGTATCCTGAAATAATGCACTTTTCGGGACTTCAGATATTTCCTTGATGAACCAACAGCCTCCAAACGGAGACTGAACAGGCTGTGACCATCTCCAACTCTTATGGGCTCTGAGTGAGGGCTTTCCTTAACCAACCTTGGTATCTGTTCCTCAAACAACACCCCTTTGCCTTTGAAAACCGAACTCTTTCTCCCTGTTTAATGACATGTTCTTCTGTTTGGTTTTTAAACTGAAATGAGAAAAAGCTTTAAAAGGTACTAAGTATTTTCTTTCCCCCCCCAAAGAATTTATTTATTTTTGAGAGAGAGAGAGTACAAGTGGTGGTAGGGAGAGAGAGAATCTCAAGCCGACTTCGTGTTGAGTGTGGAGTCCTAAGCAGGGCTCGATCTCACAACACTGAGACCATGACCTGAGCCAAAACCAAGAGTCGGGCACTTAACAGACTGAGCCACCCAGGTGCCCCAGTCTTAAGTATTTTCTAATGATTAATGTGACCACCAGACCAAGAAATGTGAAGACACATTAAGCACTCTGGATTTATAAAGTGAATTCTTAGTAGACTTTTTTATTTTTTTTTAAAGATTTTATTTATTTATTTGACAGAGAGAGACACAGTGAGAGAGGGAACACAAGCAGGGGGAGTGGGAGAGGGAGAAGCAGGCTTCCCGCTGAGCAGGGAGCCCGATGCGGGGCTCGATCCCAGGACCCTGGGATCATGACCTGAGCTGAAGGCAGATGCTTAACGACTGAGCCATCCAGGCGCCCCTTTAGTGGACTTTTTTAAGAAATTTCCTTGAAAATACTATTTATTTTGGTTAAAAGTACAGATAAACAATGAGCTCCAGCATTGCATTTATAATATTTGAAATTTATCAATAACATTTTTATAATTGGCCTACACATTTCCATGGTCACAGTTCTCGGTCACCTAGGGCAGCCATTGTGACGAGCAGATGGACCCATAGGGAAATCTGGGTTCTACTCCCAGGCAGGCCTCTAACGATCTATGTGGCTTTATAAGAGTTGCTTCTCTCAGGTTCCTGGCTATTGAAAGAAGTATTTAGACCATTTGATTTCCAAGATCCCATTTGAGCTCTCCTGCTTAGAAAGAAACTCTGGGTCACACAGCGTAAAGTGCACCTGTATGTACCTTTTGAAGGAACAGGTTTAGACCATGTACAGAACAAGATACACTGGGTATTATCCTTTACTCTTCTGATAATTCTTGTTTGTTTGTTTATTTTGCTATATAAGCTCTGAGCTTATTTAGTTGTATTACTTATAAATACATAACGATCATTACACTAATGATAGCTATTTTTCTTGGCAATTTTAATATTAGAAATAATTTTGCCTATTAGATAAAACCTCACAACTTGTGCTGGAAAACTCTTTTCAGACTTTTCTGTGCTGGGATACGTTACTCTTCTAAAAGTCTGCCCACTTTGTAGGTGTTGAATGACCTAGTCATGTACCTTTTTTCTAGCCTTCTTTTTCCAGGTCATCTGCACCACAGATGAAGGAAGCGTTAAAACACCTGTGGTCCAATATGATACCTCTACCGGATTTGGTAAATGTTTAACTCATATTACATTTAGTATAGAACCTATTCATTTTTCTAAAAAAAACAAGCATATATTTGTTTATACATACTTGTGCTAATGTATTAGCATAGACTATATGGAAGGAACTGTGTTAAGTATTATAAGAAATTTTTTTAAAGGTTCTCACAGAAATTACATTAGACAAGGAGTTAAGACATGTGGTACTCTTAAAATACCTAGGGTCATTGAATTATAGACACAGAGAGATATTGCTAAATTCTCTCCTACCCACAAATCCTGTCAGTAAAGAACAAAAGTGACTTTGTTTACCAAAAAAATGATTTATAGAGGAAGTCCGAGAAAAGAGATCAGAGGAAGAGAGAAAATACTCTAATGCCAATTTGTGTTGATCATAGAGATAATATTGCATATTCAGAGCCTAAAATGGTGAATTGGGGAGATTTATCTCTTGTATTCTCTGTAGAAGATTATGATTGATCGTTATTACCAAGTAATTTAGCTGAAGAGATGAAATTGTTATTTTTATGGAGCATCTTTAAATTGAGTTCTACCTACAATCTTTGAATCTAACATGTGTAATACTTTACAATTTCAAAGGGCAAGATAGAGAAACGCCAGATCTTTTCCATTAGAACAGAATTGGGACTGATACCCTATTTTAGATTCCAGTAACTAATGTTATATCCAATCTGTATGCGTGTATAGTTAGGTTTTTTTT